CATCCACCTGGATGATGCGACGGCAGCCATAGTGCGCCAGAACGCCCACCACACACCAGCTTATTGGTGGAGAAGAGACAGAGTGATGAAGCCAATCAGTAGATTGTATATATATATTTTTTTTTTTCTCTCAGAATTGCCAGAAAAATGTCAGAATTGTGAGATTAAAAGTCACAATTACTTTCTTAAATATTTTATTCTGTAGCAGAAAAGAGCTTACATAAGTCGACTTAAAAAATGTGAAACTACAGAGCAATTTTTTGGTGTACAATCTACAAATCAGACTCAATGAAGTTGTCTTTGATAATCTCTAAATATATGTCCAAATGCAGCTTAATAAAAGTAATTAATTATGTCTGAAAAGATTCTTATAAGCAGATAGGGAACATAGAGCCCTATATAAACATTCTATTAGTTAATAATAATATTATTATTAGCTTTTTCTAATATTTTCATTATTTTATGTAGAAATAATAGTTCACAACAAAAATGTTATCATTTTACGTGTTGTTCCAATCGAATATTAATTCCCTTTTTTTTCAAAACACTGAAGCCTGACATTTATGAACTGATTTTCTAGGTTGAAGTGCCAGAATTTCCTGAAGACCTGCAGCACTGGATCAATTTCATCTCAGCCAGCAGTAAAGCCCTCAGGGGCGAAAGTCAGCTCGATGATAAAAAGAACGAATGACGGCTCACTGCCTTAAATGATCTCTCAAACACTGGTTTACAAACACAAGAACACACTGATGCACATACATGAATGTCTCGGGTGTTTGCATATTCCAGTTCAAAATAAAACTGTGAGTTCTGCTGTAATCTAGAAGCATGATTCATGCTGCATTATGATTGTGAATATGTAGAAATACTTTCTTAAAAACAATGGATGAACAAAAGAGAAAATAATATTTTCTGGTGTATTACTGCCACTGACTGGACTGGAGTGTGAAGCACTACTACAAAGGGAAACAAAACAATAATAAATAATAAAATTAAATAAAAATAAAAAACTGTCACTTATGCAGTATGTGTAATTTAAATTCTATTTTCTGTTATTCTGAGATAAATATTTCTCTTTTTATTTTTGACAGTCCGAATGCACAAATCTAAAGATTTGAGAGGTAGATTGAAATTGATTAAATTATATATCTCAATTTCTTTAATAACTTCTATTCAAAATAATATGTTACTGCTTAAATGGCATTCAAAACATGAATATCCAATGAATTTGAAACAATTACAACATATCTAAGCAGCAGCAAAGACGTATAAATAATATTTTATCTTGGAAACGATGATGACGTCACGCCGCTCGTCTGGCGGCCTGCTGACGTAGTCACGTGGCCACGTTAAACCAATCAGAGCGCAGTTTCTGTCTGCGGAAGTGCGTGAAGCCGGTTTTTCGGGTGTCAATCGCGTGAGTTGCAAGAATGCCTAATTTGACAAGATTATGATTGTGAACACTAATAAATGCACGTCGTTTATCAATTTACATGTATTAAAACTCAAACCGGTCTACTTGGGATAGGTGTCGTTGCACGGCCTTGTCTGATCTATAAGTGAGATCAGATATTTAATCGAAATGTTGATTTTTGATTCATTTCCGATATGAATGAATGATGTGACATACAGCGATCTTTAAATAAACATTTATAATTTTCCAAAAAGATGCAATAATGTCCTGCGCGCTGTTTTGTAGCCGGGTCACTGCTGTTAATGCCGTAGAAACTCGATAAACCCAGTTCTGTGTCTCCACGTGATCGTGATGAATTATTCATGATGTGCATAATTAATCATCTTCACTGTGTGACAGAATCATGCTGCTGTGGATTCTGTCCGGCTCTCTGGTTCTGTTCAGCAGTTTTGACGTCTGGTACTTCCTGAGAGGCTCGTGGATGGTGATCAAGTCCTGGTTCCAGGGGCCGGTTCGAGATGTTCTGGCCGAGCAGGTGGTTCACGGACGGGTTCTCCTTCACGATCTGGACTTTATGTGTCACATGAATAACGCCCGCTATCTGCGCGAGTGCGACTTCGCCCGGTACGCACACTGCACCCGGAACGGGCTCTTCCTGGCCGCACGCGCGCTCGACGCCACCATGCTGGTCGGAGCCACGACCATCCGCTACAGACGCTCGCTGGCGCTCGGCGAGGCGTTCGAGCTGCGCACCCGGATCGTGGCGTGGGATGAGAAGTCCTTCTACCTGGAGCAGAGGTTCGTGTCCAAGTCAGACGGGTTCGTATCTGCTGTCATGCTGTGCAGGCAGAATGTTATTCGCGGAAATCCACAGAAGATCTTGGAACACCTTTGCAAGAGGAAGGTATGCATTTATTTATCGAAACTTTTGAAAGCCATGGACGCCATCCTTGTGCAAGAGACCCCTCTCCTAAAATATGGTATTGTAGTGTTAGATATTTGTTTGTTTTTATTTATTTTATTTGAAATGCATGTTATTTTGCCTGTATTTTATTTATTGTAATCAAATGTATTTATTTATTTCGTTTTTATTTGTATTATAATTATTTATTTTTTTGATTTTTTTGGACCCCCAGATATTCTCATTCTCATGCCTGGGACCCCCGTTCTAAAATTTAAAAGGCAGTTATATATTTTCATGTATAAAAACCCAATTTATACTGTGAAAAATTCATATTAAAAATAAAATGTGTAAAATATTAGTTTGAAAATATCTAATTGGATCTAGTTTTTTTCTACTCACTATAGTAGTGTACTATTAGATGTATTATTTATTTATTTTTTAATTATTGAAATAATAAAATTCTTAGCTTTCATTTATTAATTGTAATAAAATGTATTTCTTTATCTTGTTTCATTTTATATTTTTTAATTTTATTTATTTTTTATTACTTTTTTGGATCCACAAATATGTTCATCCTAAAATTTAAAAGGCAGTTATATATTTTTTTCATGTATAAAGACACAATTTATACAGTGAAAAAATCATATTATAAATATATTTAAAATATAATATGCTACATTATTATATTCTTCTCACTAAAATACTGTACTGTTTGTTGTATTATTTATTTAAATTAAATGCGTATTATTTTAACATTTAATTTAATTATGTATATGTACTTATTTATCTAGTTTATTATTAGTAGCAGTATTACTGTTACTATTATTATTAATTAATTAAGTAGTTATTTTTTGACCCTCTGAAGACCCAATTAATACAATGAAAAATGTATATTATAAATATATGTAAAATATTATTTGGAAAATATCTAGTTTCTATTACATTACTATTTTTTTCTACCTAGTGTAGTACTGTACTGTTGGGTATATTTATTTATTTATTTTAATAAAATGTATTCATTTCAGTTAAATTTTTTGGTTCTTCTGGTTCTTCTTATGTATTATTAATTACATTTACATTTAGTCATTTAGCTGACGCTTTTATCCAAAGCGGCTTACAAATGAGGACAATGGAAGCAATCAAAATTAATTAATCAATTAATTTTTTCACAGTTTTTCTCTAAATTTTTCCACGCACTCCTTTGCTGCCCCCTGTGGGCCCCCAGACCCCAGTTTGAAAACCCCCACACTGTGTGTCCTAACATACAGTACCATGGTAATACTGTGCTTTTTGGGCATATATCATGGTAATACCATGACACTCCTTGGCTTACCATGAATATGGCACTCATTTCAAGACTTTTTGGTAATACCATATTGTTAGACACGTAACATTGTTAATACCGTGGTTTTCTTAGAAGTATGTTCCTGCTGGACTAACATACAATATATCCCATGTGTCTCTATAATTTGAAGGTGGATTGCCCTGAGATCTCAGAGGATCTTCAGCACTGGATTAGATTTATCTCTGCCAGCAGTCAGGCTCTGAGAGCAGAGAGTGGACTGGACGACAAGACCAAATGATAAATTCAAAGACTCTTACCGTAAGCCTTCCTTCTGCATGTAAGTTTCCCGTGATGCTAACATTAACTTATCTCTAAATGTCGGTTTCAAAGTCACAAAAGGGTTTTCTGATCCAGAACCTGCGGCTGTTGGCAGCTTCAGTGTTTACTCCACTACACCAGCCCTTCATGTATTTATTTCAAAGTATTACAACATCATTATTGTACTTAGAAAGTCCATTCCAGAAGCTGCAAGAAATGTGACTGACAAAACATAGAAGCATGAATCTCTGTTGAGAAACAGAGCGCATGAACGAAGGTTGAAAACTTGACTCCATTGACTTGAACACTAGGGGCTTTTGAATGCTCCTATGACCAAATACGCACATGAACGTAACAAAAATCACGTCGAAGGCATTTGCACTGAGTATTTTAATATTATACATGGTAGATGAGTTCTGAGCAGTGAATTGGAACAAGTGTGTTGTTTTATCATATCAAAACTGGATTTGTTGTGCTGGTCTGAAATGTTAATGTAGTTATTTATTCCACTTTAAAACTGAAATGGTTTTATTATTGTTATTTATGAAAAGGGAACATATATTTATTAAAGTACATTTTTCTGAGATTTGCATAATTTCTTTGAGAAGAGTCTGTATGTAAAGTAATTTAAGCACCTGTAATGAAACGTGAAGACTTGCGTTATAAAATAAAGTACTGCATTATAAATAATGTCTGTATGTTTCTGAGTTATTAGAAGCATTAGTTTATAAACAGTGCTCATGCATCATGTGAGAGCAGCAATACTGCCATCTAGTGTGAAAACACTGACATATCCCACTCTTACATTGGAAAGTTGAATTAAAAATGTACACGGATTGCAAAAGGGCATTATATTTGGTTTGTCCCCGGTATGAATCAGTGGCATGCTCATGTTCTCCAGCATGATTTGAGATGTTCCATCTTTAGCTTCAGTGTAAGCAAGAAAATCTGACAAATTCTGTACAAGTGTCACTGATTTACCCTAGTTATATCTGACTAAACATATTTGAACTATCAAAATATTTTGTATTCGTTTTACAGCTATTTTTTTATTTATTTATTTATTTCCAAAATGTAAAAAACAAATGTTAGTTTAAAATAGATTTTGAGTTCTATGATTTTGTGTGGACTGGATATTAAATAAGAAAATATCAAATCTTTAATCTTTGGTTCTAAAAGCAGACAAAATATTTCTAAAATATTTAAATATTTATAAACTTTGTATCATTATATGTATATGTGTGTGGTTAATATATTATGTAATTTATTAAAATGTTATATATATATTTATATGTGTTTATGTATATATGTTTAATTTGAATTTATTTGAATTTATTTAACTTGTGAAGTAATATAGACTTACATTTTATAAATGTAATTTACATTTTTATTTTTTTTATGTTATTTCTTTTTATTATTATTTATTTATGTGCTGATTTTGGGGTGACATATGACCTAGAGTCATTTTTTGTGAGCTGCACAAATTCTTGCCAGAACACTTAACACTGCACCGAGTTTAACACTGCAAGCAGCTCCGTGTTTTCTGACATGCGCAGTTGTTGTGCAGAGCAGCTCTTCAGCCCCTCCCCCTCCTGTCAGACTCTGTGGTCACATGACTCACTTCCTGCATAAACAAAGCTTGCCTGGGCTTCATTCTGCCACTGTGTTGGACGGCAAGAAATCCTTTTAAAATGGCGCAAGCTGGGGTTTTCCTTGAGCACGACCAGTTCAACTGTTCCATATGCCTGGATGTCTTAAAGGACCCTGTGACTATTCCATGTGGACACAGTTATTGTAAAGGCTGCATTAAAGGCTACTGGGACCAGGACGACTGTCTGGGGATTTATGGCTGTCCTCAGTGCAGGCAGAGCTTCACTCCCAGACCTGTGCTGGGCAGGAACACAATGCTGGCAGATGTGGTGGAGAAACTGAAGAAGACAGGGCTGCATGCTGGACCGACAGCGTCTGATCCGACCCAAGCCGAACCCGGGGATGTGGAGTGTGATGTTTGCTCTGGGATGAAAAACAAAGCCTTTAAATCCTGCCTGGTCTGTCTGGCGTCTTACTGCGAGACCCACCTTCAACCCCACTACGAGTCTCCTGCCTTTCAGAAACACAGGCTGGTCTCTCCTTCAAAGAAGATACAAGAACAGCTCTGCTCTCACCATGAGAAACTCCTGGAGGTGTTTTGCCGCACAGATCAGCAGTGTATTTGTTATCTTTGTTTAACGGACGAACACAAAGGACATGACACTGCTCTAGCTACAACAGTAATGAATGAGAAAAAGGTAATGTTGTAGACCGTTTCTAGATTGTGTGTTGTGTGAGAGTCAGTAGAAATATGGCATGTTATGTAACCCGGTGTTTGTCTTCCCAGAATGCTCTGGTGGAGATGCAGAGGATTTCCCAGCAGAGGATTCAGGAGAAAGAGAAGGAGCTGGCCGACCTGAGAGAGGCTACACAGATGCTCACTGTGAGTGTGTGTGTGTGTGTGTGTGTGTGTGTGTGTGTGTGTGTGTGTGTGTGTGTGTGTGTGTGTGTGTGTGTGTGTGTGTGTGTGTGTGTGTGTGTGTGTGTGTGTGTGTGTGTGTGTGTGTGTGTGTTTCCTTGTTCTGAAGTTTAGAACAAGGTCGGTCAGTATCAAATCTTGTAAACCTTTAGCTTTTCAATAATAGCTTATTTATTGGGGGCAAAAACCACAGCTGCCTAGTTCATTTTACATGTTAAATTATATTTCTATTGCAATATATTTCTTTTTGTTTTTTAAACAAATTAATACTTTTATTTACCAAGAATCCATTAAATTGACATCTATAATGTTACAAAAGATTTGTATTTCAAATAAATGGTGTTCTTTGAACTTTCTGTTCATCAAAGAATCCTGAAAAAATGTATCATGATTTCCACAAAAATATAAATAATAAGCTTTCTTGAGCACCAAATCAGCATATTAGAATGATTTCTGAAGGATCATGTGACACTGAAGACTGGAGTAATGATGCTGAAAATTCAGCTTTGCATCACAGGAATAAATTACATTTTAACATATATTACAGTAGAAAACAGTTATTTTAAATCGTAATAATATTTAACAGGATTAACTTTTTAATCAAATAAATGTGAACATGTATATGATAAAAAGATAGCAAAATCTAGAAAAAAACATTACTTTTCACAAAAGGTGCACACATTTCTTTTTTCACTTTTCTCTTTTAAAACTCTTGCTAATAATTGAAATCACAGCTGCCAATATCTCGAATAAAATAGGCCATCTTCAATAAAATAACCAACGTTTAAAGTAAAAAAAAAAAAAACTTTTTTAAAATTTAAAATAAATTTCTATAAGATAACCAAAGTCCTTGTCACGTTTATATGTAATTGACCTTTGCAGTCAAGACCTACGCCAAAACCACATCTCCTAGACCTAGATTAGGCTGACTTCTTCACCTTGTTTTTAATAGGTTTATTTTTTCCAAAAGCACGAATACACAAAATGTCAAATAAAATGACCCATTTACATTTTAAATCAAATAATACGTTCAAAATCCTATGCAAGTATCGTACAAATTTGTTCCATCTTTGACTATGTCCCTGACCAAGGTCTCAGTTATACAGCATGATCTCAAGGCTAAGGCTGTATAAAGATTTCTGAATAGACCAATTTGGAGTAGACGTCGCAGTTACGTCAAAGTGCATAGTGGTGGCAGAAAACACTGGGAACAAGTGGAGGGAAACGGGTAAAATCCATGGAATAAGAGATAAAATGTATTGTTGTGCCTTTGGATATCAGAATCGGAATGCAAATAATTTTTATATAACACTGTCGTCAAAGATGCCATTTGAAGCTAAACGCAGACGTTTAAATGGACAGACTATGGATGAAACCTGCTATGATTACCCTACTTTTAAAGCATACATTTGATTTAAACAATAGGTCTATATAATATTCATATAGGGGACATATTGTATTAGCCCTGCAGTTGAAATACATGCATGAAATACTATTTAAACCTATAACATTTTACATAACATTTACCTATTTTATCTCACAATTCTGACTTTTTTTCTTGCCAATGCAAGTTTATATCGCCTAGTTCAGACTTTATAACTTTATTCAAGTCAACAATTGCGAGTTTGTCAGTTCTGAGGAAAAAAAGCCAGAAGTGTGGGATTATAAACAAAAAAAAAAGAAAGAATGACGAGCTGATTTTTCTTACC